AGTTAGAGTAGCTGTGTTCTAAGTGCCCCGTAAACAGTGATGGCTGTCAGCTGTCTCAGTGGATGGCACGGGATGGGGCGTTTCCATCAGCATGGAAATGTGTTGACAGTGCTAATCACACATAATTTGTTTTCTCTCCTCTGTATTTATTTTACACAGTCTCCAAACAGCAGAAGAAGAGCAGGGCCCACCTTTAAGGATATACTTGTGTAGCACCTCGGTTGGTTGGAGAGCGGTGCTAATGAGATTGGGGTTTTATTATTTGTTGTTGCATTAATGCATCGGTTTCCTAGTTGCAGGCCTGTACCTCTGTTAGCGAGGTATGACAGAGTGACGTGATCAGATTTGCATTTTGAGGAGACCACATGCTCACTGCGATGTGGGTGGCAGGTCAGAAAGGGAGGGGTGTGGATGGAGGACTACTAGCTGGGAGGCTGGGGGTCGCCCAGGCCAAGTGGGCACAGCGGGAGGCAGTAGATAGGGAAGGGGGTGAACTAGAGTTGTGACGACTCGGGGGAATCGAAAGGGCTTGGTGTTTGACAGGACCAGGGTCCGTGATGGGTGTGTGTGTTTTGGGGAGCAGGGAAGTGGGTGATGAGAATATTTCCACAGTGTCTGGCAAAACCAACAAAGTGAATAATGGTGCCATTTATTGAGGAGGAACAGGTGTAGGGGATGAAATAATGAATTAGATTAAAAAAAATTTTTCCCCTTACCGGAGGCACTGGGGATTGAACCCAGGGCCTTGTGCTTGCCAAGTGCATGCTCCACCGCTGAGCTATAACCCCCACCCCAAGTTTGATTTTAGCATTCATTTTAAGGTGCCTGTGATATCTAAGGGGGAGATAGCTGTTGGGGAATATGGATCTTGGCCTCAGTGGCGAGATTTGGACTAAAGATGTAAACTTGAGAGACGCTGGCCACATGAGGAGTCAAGACCATCCAGGGAAGAAGAGAGCAGTCTGCCTGGTGGACCGTCTTCATCAGAATGGACTGAGTGCCCCTTTGGGCTGGTACTCAGGAACTGACAAGCCCCTGCTAAGTCCATTGCATGCTGACGTTCAAGAAGCACTGATACAGCCTGCGAAAGGACGGACATCTAAGACTGAGTCATGGGAGAAACGGGACCTTCACAGACTGAGAGAACTGTGAACGGATACAGAGAGACCCAGGGCTGGGGGAAGGGCACTGCGGGGACCGCAGGCTGCCTGGCTCTGTCTCACTGAGGGAGAGGTCAGGTCGGCGGTCACGGAAGAACTCAGGCATGAGACTGGGATCAAGGAGAATGGAAAACACGTCCAGGCCTCGGAGGGAATCATAGTCAGCGGAGATCAGTATAAGGATCGCCGCATGGCACTGAAGGCCCGCTTTAGATGTAGGAGCAAAACTTCTCGTGGTTTTGTACATTTCTTCAACAGTGCTGAGAATTTGGAGTGAGCGTCCAGTGGCGTTAAGCTGGTTGTGGAAGTTAAAGGGACCAGGAATACTGGGATATTATTGATATTGAATCATGATTAGAATATTGCAGTTCACCATACGGCTTAGGCAAGTGAAAACAAGACTGACTGGAGGGCAGAGAGGATAAAGGGAGGAGATAATGACAAGACAGAGCTCGGTTAGAGGCGGAAAGGTCAGAGGAAGCCGGGAAGTTGTGGGCCGAGGGAGCAGCTCACAGCGTGAGGTCTCAGAGGTGGGCCTGGGAGACGGTGGATCCTGTCCGTCCCTGTGCGGGAGGACGCAGTAGATTGAAGGTCGGGCTCATTAGGATTTTGTCTGGAACTCAGGGTGGCAGGAGATACGAGAACTTGTTACGAACTGGGTGCTCGTATCATCAAGAAAGATGGGGTTGTATCTTCTTGGTCTTTATGTGGTAGGTGGCAAAGATGGGAAGAGTGACAAGCTGATATTAGAAGATGGTATAAAAGTAATTGAGAAACACAAATGATACGTGAATTTCCAAGCCTTGGAGATTCCAAACACAAAGGCAACGATTTGCACTATTACAGTTACCCTCACTAAGCACCAGACATTGAGCTAAGCGTGTTGCATATATTAACTCATTGGGTCCTTATGACAACCCCATGAGGTAGGGGTGTTATTAATAAACTCATTCTACAAAGGAGGAAACTGAGGCACAGTGGTGTTAAGTCATTTGCCCAGAGCTACAAACACCAGTTGGTCCATGACGGAAACAGGATTTGAACTCAAGCAGTCTGCTCCTAGAGTCGCGGCTCTTAACTAGCTTATTATACTGTCTGTCTCGTAAACTGAGCTTGGAGATTTAAAAAAAGCCATTCTTACGGGTGCCAAACTCTTGGATGTTTGTCATTTTAAGAAAAAAATTGAAAATTAAAAGCAACATTAGTTTGTTTTTATATTGCTTACTTCATACACATCCACCTTAGAAAATTGGGAAAATATAACAAAGCACAAAGTATACAAGAGAAAGAGTTGCCCGTAACCATAGTCCTAGATAGCACAGGAGCTGGCTGTGCGGGGCTCGCGGCTCCACTGTCACAAAAAACGCCTTCCTGCTTTTGCTTGGCTGGAGGGTGGTCTCACGCCCTGTCGTAGCTCTGCCCTGGCACATCTGCTGCCTGCCTACAGCCTGGGTGAGGGGGCTCGCTGCCAGGCCCAGGGGGGCTTCTCCCAGCCCTGAACCCAACCTGTGTGGGCCTTGCCTTGCTCTTCCCAGAAAGCCGTGTGAGCTTTCCACTCTAGTCGCCCAGAGCTGAGCAGAACGTGTCCCAGAACTTGCATCTGCCAGACCTGCAGGTGCTGGTTGTAGACACAAGACTCCTGGGTCAGAGACTGAGGGCTCCATCACTCGGCGTGCAAGCGCAGGAGCCTCCGGTTCCTGTCAGCTCCCCAGGACCCCAGCCCCTCGGGATCGGTGCGGCCCAGGTGGAAGCTGGCCCAGGGTGGGCTGTGTCGCAGCTGAGGGAGCCCGCGTTCAGGGAGCCCACTTCAGCGTAATGGGCTGCAAGCAAGCCATGGGGGACCTTGGCTTCCATACCGTGCGGTCTGCAGACCTGCTTCTGCTTCCGAGACACCGTCCCTGTCTTCCAAGGCTGTTTGCTGCATAGATGTCCTTGAAAAGACAGTCCGGAAGAGGGCTGCCCCTGCCTCCACTGGTGAGGCCACCCGGGGTGGGAGGCCCTGCCTTCCGACGCGGAGTAGCCGTCTGGAGGAAAAGAAATGTAACTGCCGGGAAACATTGCTTACCAGGATATCAGAGGAAGTGTGTGACTCCTATTGGTGATCTTGTCCCCAAATTTATTATCGTTGTAACACTTATTGTTACATTATTATCGTTGCTTCATGTAATAGTTATGACACGTGGTAGCAAAACGCAGGTGTTTGGGACATCAGGTCTCAGGTGGGTCCCAGCAGCGCTCCTGTTCGTATAATACACGGCACACTGTGTGCTCGCACAACATCGCCCTTCAGACTTTGGCGGTGTCTCAGAGCTCGAGGGTTCCGATGGGCCGCTTGTGGGCAGGCGGGACTCAGAGGTAGGAAAAGACAAAGCCGTGAGGGTGTCATACACTTGAGAGCCCGCTTTTTCTGTTTTACTTACAAGCTTTTCAGGTAATATTTAATGTAACTAAAAGATTCTTGCTTAGAAAGGAAAAGAAGGAGAGGAGTCAGTGTTAAGAGGTGGTGGTGTTTCGCAAAGCCTCCCGGGCGGTGTGAAAGTTGTGAAGTGCGGGCTCAGAGAGTTGCTCGGGGAGGTGGCGCTATGTTTTCAGCCGTGTGCCTCGTGGCTGCTCCGTCTCACCTGAGCAACGGCTCCTGGGAGATCCACGTGTTAGGTGAGCACCGGCTGTCGTCTCTGGCTTGCCGGCCTCCCTGGCTGTGAGCACGTATGGGGCACTGACTCTCACTTTTGAGGATACATGTTAACCTGCCAAGGGCTGCCTAGTGGTCAGAAATGGCCACTTCAACCCTGAGTCACCATTTAGGGCTGGGACCACTTGGCCATGGTTTTAGGACAGTGCCTTTCCTATTGAATTTGAGGAACTGGGGTGCTGTGATTTAGTGCAACCCATTTCTTTTGTTCAGAAATTAGAATATAATATTTAGGGCAAAATTGAAATAAGTGTATGTTTTAGATTTTTATTTATAACTCATGTCTTTAAACTTTTTAATATGGAAAGAAAGATCACTTGATTTATTGGGAAATGTGGATATACTTACAATTTTGTTTGTTGTGTTAGATGTTGTAAATTCTTGCATTACAGTAGAAATTATCGACATGAATCTTTACATTTAGGTACAGATTCAATCTTCTGGTGACTTTTCAGGAATATGAGAAAGTTTCGTTTTTGTTTTTATTTTTGCCTTGTTCGGTATGTTTCAAGTTGAAGTCTGGTCTCTAGTTTTGCCCTGAGGGCAGAATTTGTTTTATATTTAAAACAGAATTGTACATAATCTTTCCTCATTGTAGTCGAGCCTCACGGATTTAATGAAAATTCTATCTAAAGTGGAGAAGGAGCTGATACTTGGTTGATCTGCGCAGTTTCCAGCGCTGGGTTACCTGGCGGAGTTCTTGGACCGCGCGCTAAGTGGCCCCGGCGGGTGCGGGGCGCCGCTCCGCACGGGCTCTGTGCCCTCCCCCGGTGGGGCGGTCCCGCCGCCCTTAGGCCGTGTGCCTTGCTTAGCCTTCTAGTCCCTTGATTAGAGTCACAGGTGAAAATTCGTTAATCTGCAGTCTTGGTGGACAGTGTTAGGAAAGTAATTAATTGTTTAAAATAGTTCTGCAAGATGTTTTTATGAAGAATTTTTGGTACTTTCTTCAAAGCTTGATGGTATTTTACATAATTTTGAAAACAAAAGTCAGTCTAAACATTACAAACTGTAAACATTTAGTGTTTTTTGTCCTGCTAATAAACATAAATTTCCTCCTCTTCCAAAGGATTTTTATGCTTTCATATAGACAGAGACCTAATTGCTCACGAGATGAAATAAAACATTAAAATTATGTCTTTATTTTTCAGGGAATCCGAGCCCGAATTTTAGAAACCCTGGTCATGCTTATTCTTCTTGCCTTGCTTATTCTTGGGATGGTGTGGGTGGCCTCTGCCCTCGTCGACAATGACGCTGCCAGTATGGAGTCTTTATATGGTACCATCACCCTGTTTAAATCAGTTTCTCTAGTGGTGACTCTGGTATGGGATATAATTACACATGCACTTTTTAAAACATTTTAATAATGTTTTGTATGGTTATCCTTGTTAATTTACAAAATTAAACAGACTTTAGACATGTTTAAGAAGAGGTGAATGTTTGTGTGTTTCGTACATGCAGAAAAAGCAGCAGCTTTTCAGACTTTTTTTTCCCTTTGGTTAATTGGTTTCTGTTCTTAAAATTCCATGGAGGCTGATTTTCTCCCTCCAAACAGGTTTTGCAAAAGGGTTATTTCCTGTTCTTCTAGTTTAGATCTTTTTATTGTACAATTTAGAAATTATATGGTTTAGTAGACTCAGGCAATTACGATGTTTACTATACATTAATGTATAGTCAGTCTCTATCTTAATGTACAGTATTTTGGATGTACTAAAATATATTTACATTTTTAATAGATCTCTGGGAGTTCTACCTACCTTATTTGTACTCCTGTATATCATTGATGGGGTGTTTGTTACTTCTCTGTGAGTATATTTCTGGCATAATATTGATGGCAAAGTAGAGTTGTTCTGTGTTCTAGAAAATTATGGGGAAGCTTTCTGATGAGATTCCTTAATAGCTTGGAGATTTGTTTAAAAGTTGTCCCCTAGCTTTTTTTTATGTTCAAGGTAAATTTTGGTAAATTGAAACCTTGAAATAATAAGATAGTTTTGTTTATCTCTAAGGAAAGCCTCTTCCACAGAGTTGGAAAGAGAGAGGGGGAGGCGGGATAGAGAGAGAGATGGTCGGGGGAGAGATGGAGAGAGGGAGAGATGGTGAGGGGAGAGATGGTTGGGGGAAAGATGGTGGGGGGAGAGATGTGGGGAGAGATGGTGGGGGGAGAGATGGAGAGAGAGATGGTGAGGGGAGAGATGGAGAGAGAGATGGTAAGAGGGAGAGATGGTGAAGGGGAGAGATGGTGAGGGGAGAGATGGTGAGGGGAGAGATGGTGGGAGGAAAGATGGAGAGAGAGATGGTGAGGGGAGAGATAGAGAGAGAGATGGTTAAGAGGGAGAGATTGTTAAGGGGAGAGATGGTGAGGGGAGAGATGGTGGGAGGAAAGATGGAGAGAGAGAGGCGAGAGAGGCAGATATGCATGCATGCATGCACACACGCCCACTGTCACAATACTAGCTTCTGCTTTTGAATGGTAATGGTAGAATTCTGTATGTCTTTTTTTTTCAAAAATTTTTCAGTTTTACTTGAGGTATCAAAACATATCTCAGATGTTATAAGCAGATAAATGTGGGTAAAAAGATTTGAAATTATAGTTGTCACTTTCAGATATTCTTGTCTGGTACTCAGTTCAATTAGTACTTGAGATTTAGTCTGTTCTCTATTTGGTTTTCTTTAATTTATTTTAAGTGAAAATACTTATTATTATTCAGCTACTAAAGTCTTGCATGTCCCATGCCTCCTTTAGTCTCCATGCATCTTTCCTTAAATACCAGAAAGCCCGTCCTCCGCACACCAGCCCTCTGGCTCCTTTAATGGTGGCGCTGAAGAGTCCTCTGACAAAACAGGGAGAGACCCTAGATTTGAAACAAGCGTTTTCTTACGGCAGTAGCCTTTGCATTTGCTTTGTTTTTTAAGACCAGTGGTTTGTCTGACTCTGAAGTAAGTGTCTCTGTTGGTGATCTCATTCTGCAGTGTGCACTCCAGTTGGCCTCTCCCGCATGTTCACAGTAATGGGGCAGCTCTTGGTGAAGCCAGCAGTAAGTATGTCGTGGCACATCACTTTGTTTGTTACATAAACATTTTTACATATGAACATCTGTTAGGTTCTCAACTGACATTCAGAAGCAGAAGAATTTTGTGTGTTTATGATCCAAATGGTTAGTGTTTTTATTTTCATCTTTTTCATCTTTGGAAACCAAATTTGTTTTTGCTCTTAAAATGCTAACTATAGGCATTCAAGTAAAAATTCTTCTAGCAAATTTTAAGACAAAATTTACAGAAATTTACAGTATTTTAGGCATCCACCATTATATATCAAATAGTAACTTTATTATGTTTCAGGGTTTACCATACATATTCTTTGACTTACAAAGCAGTTATTTTTCTGAAAATTCATCTGTATCTTACATCTTGATTAATTGAATTTTACCTTTCTCTTTAATCTCAGAAATATTGTATATTAATTTTAAAATAATTTTCACTTGGTAGTAGTTTTGATGATTTGTCCGTAAGTTACTTTGGCCTCTAGTTATTTTGTCAAATATTTAGTGATATGAAAATAATTCTTACCTGTATCTGGGGAATTTGTCACATTATGTTTATGGAACCTCATTGCCTAGAAACTCATGTCTAAACTGTTCACGTGTTATAAGGCCTCTCACAACCTGTCCCACACTGAATTTACCCCTCCTCCCCTCCCCGTTGACTCTGATTCCAGTCAGCCCCACTACTGACTTGCTGTGCTCAGAGACAGCTGGCTGCACTCCTTACCCAGGCACGTCCAGCGTCTGTCTCTCGCCAGTGCTTCTTACCCGCTTCAGCCACCTGACAGCCTCCCGAAGGCCCGGCTCTGCTATCAGCTGCGTTCACTACCTGTCTGTGAACCTTGCCTCATTTCTCCTTTAAGCTAAAATAATTAAGCTCCTTTCTCTGCATTTCTCATATTCCCCCTTGTTGGTCTGCCACTGGTGGTGCTTATTAAGTTGTTATGATTACATGTTGGTCTTCCCTATCAGGGAGATTCATCAAGGGGAAAAACTAAGACATTTCATAGTAGGCATTCTTTTAGTAAATGCTTGCTAAATTTTGAAAGTTTTAAAAAATATTTTCTTTTTAAATTAAATGGATGTTTTATCTGCTGTATAAATATGAACACACTCAAATGTAATACACACATTGCTATTAAATCTTGAAATTTACTCCCCTCTTAAAGAGGTTTTGTGGCACTGTATTCATTTAATTTCTTCTTAATCCTCTGGATTTTTTGTTTGTTAGTTTGTCTCTGTGTTTCCATTTTCTGCCCCTTAAAATAGGCAAATGTTTACAGTTCTGTCCTTGGTCTAAAGTTGCTCTGCTCTGTCTTCCTGACCACCTCTGCTACTTGCACATCACTTCTAAATGTCTAATGCTAGAGAGAAGAAGACAGTGAAAACAAACGACAGTGTACTTTAAGTGCTGTAATTCCCCGAGGAACTGAAAACTCAACATGCATAAAGCCAAATGACTTCTTTCTCTCCCTCCCCAGGCTTTCCTCCCAAACTTATCTATTATTAACAAGATCTTTAAGACTTGGTTATCTTTGCCTCTTTTCTTGTTCCTAACATCTAATAATAATGGTTATTTATTCAGTAATTGAGTGTATGCTGTATGCTTGTGCTAAGTACTTTATTTACATGTATAATTTTATTGAATCCTGATGACAAACCCATAAGTTAGGTGATGGTGTTCTTATTTATGGTTGAATTGTCTGCGATTCAGGGAGCTCATGTAACTTGTCCAGGATCACAGACATGAGAGGATGAGGCCGGGTTTGAACCCAGAGGCTATTTTCAGAGCCTGGGCTCTGGACCACAGTGTGTCCTCCTCCAGAGATATTGAGCCACTTCACTGCTGAGTGTACTCTGTACCTTTCCACCTGTATGTTTTGCTTGTCACTTTCTTTGATTGAAATGCCTTTCCTCTTTTTGGTAAATAAAGCTGCAAGTAAGATGCCACTACCATCAAAAACATTTGCCTAAACGTTTTTCTTCCCAAATAGAAGTTGGGAATCTTTCTGCCTCTGCAACTTTTGTAACATTTTAACTTCAGCTTTGACATTGATTTCAATCCTGTAGTTACTATTCTTTTGGATTCGTTGTATCTCTCCTGGACACTAGAATATAAGCTGTTTGAGATCAAGGACTGTGTCCAGCCCATATTCAGGTCCATCAGCCAAGAGTGGCTAAGAGCACAGGCCTGGCCGGCAGGTAACTTTCCTCTGCCGGACCTTTCTTGGCATTTACAAGTCTGGGTTGAGGGCAGTCTGTGCTTCACAGGGTCTCTGCAGAGACAAGGGGTGACGTACGAAGCCCTGAGCACGAGCATCTGTGCTCTCCTCACTCACTCACTCACACCAACACGTATCTGCGGTGGTGAGTCATTATTGGGCGGTTTGCACAGCAAGAGGAAATCCTTTTGTAAGTGTTAGACCTTGAGGAACGTAAAAACTGGCGGTCGTGATCCAAACAGTAGAAAGCGGTGAGGACACTGATGGGGAAGGAGCTTCGGACCATGGCCCACAAAGGCGCGGCCCCCCGCTTTCCTCCTGCGCGGAGTCTGTCTCGGTCGACTCGGCCCCGCTCCCCGCCCCCGGCCGGGGCTCGTGGTGGGCCCCGTTCTCTCCCACGTGGGGCGGCCCTCCCTGGGGGCCCGCTGGAGGCTTTCTTCCCAGCCCCCGACTCTGCTCACAGGACGGGCATTGTTTGTAATTATTTGTTTGTGTGCTTTTATTTATTCTTATTCTATTATTTTATGTTGTTTTCAGCTCTAGGCCATAGGAGATTATCAGTATTTGTTGAAATACTGGGAATTATTGGATCACTTTAAATAAATTTTATATAAATTCCAAAAATTTGATACCTAATAGGGGTTGCATGAGTGAGACTCCTTTTTCTGAAAATGCCTCATCAGGGAGCTGGAAGGATAACATATACAGGGTTCCCATCCTTCTGTTTTGTCTGTCAGTTCCTCACAGTGTGCTGTTTTGCCGAGAATGGGTAGTTCGGGGTTGAACGGTAACAGGACGTTAGTGTCAGCTCTGGGCCTCTTTCACATTTCTTTCCAGGGCTGAAAGACACTAGGGCTGCCTCACGAAGGACAGCTGTATTGATAAAGCTGGACTCAGACAGGTTTTAGGGTTCATCAGTTTTAAAGACAGTGCAGATCGCATTCCATGTAGTTGGTTATTGATCGGTGGCTTTTTGGTGGTTTTTTCAGGAGTGTTTGTGTTATAGCAGTGAGTGGTGTGTATGTCAGCAGACTCTTTCTCCAGGGTTCTTTCTGTGGGTTGATTTTGGTAATTCCAGTGTTAATATTTCTGGGAATTTTTTAGTATATGAAGATGATATAAATGGAAAGTATTGATGGTAGTGATTAAGGTTTGAATTTCTTATTTTAAACATTATGCAGGTTAGTATGGATGAGAAACCAGTGTTGGACTGGGTGATCTGTTCCTTCCAGCTCTAAAATACCGGCTTGGGCATAAAGAGAGATTACTGTATTTAGCTTTTCGGATGTTTAGAATTCATACATTGGTTTGCCGTTGAGAGAGTTCTTTCTTTAACCCTTTGGTAGCCTGAAAAAAATCCAATTTGCATGTACGTAGATACTCAGCTTGTGATGTATTTAGTTATATACTAAGAAATTTCTACTTAATTTGCAAATAGACTAGTTTAAGCATTTTTATTTCAGATTCCTAGTAATTTGAATGGTTCGCCAGTAAGCCAAGTAGCTTTCAATATTCTCACTATCACTATTTTTGTAATGTGTTATTCAGCAGTTGATCTTTAAATTTAGATTCTCGAAGACCTGGATGAACAAATTTATATGATTACCCTAGAGGAAGAAGCACTCCAGAGACGACTAAATGGTGCGTATATGTCTAAATGACCAGGATAAAAATTATCGAATTTAAAAAAGACAGATAATTGAGAGGAGAAATACAAGCTTCTCAGTACCTTGTGCTGTTCCATGGGGTCAAGACGTAAGAGTGATATGTAACCTTCCTGGGGGAAGGAAGTTTTGCCGAGGACCAGTGGCTCTTTGGTAAAGTTCCCGTCTCTCCCTGACTGAAATTAGCTGTAATCTGGCAGCATCAGTTCAGTTCCGAGACACTGACCACTAAGAAGTATCCTTCCGTTAGTTTATTTTAGGCATTATTACTTGTAGTTACTGAGGTTTTGCAGATTTGCATGTTATCTTAGTGACTGTATTCTCTCAACTTTATTTCTCTCCTGAGGTCTCAAATTTATGGTAAAAAGCAGTATTTCTCTTACACCAAGGTGCCAAGTTAGACTCTGTTGTACTTAGGAACTCTGTTGTTACCTGAGGGTGCTGTTCATTTTCAGGTGATAACAAAGTAAGCATGTGAAAGATTTTAAAATTTAGTTTTTAATTACTGATCATTTTTGGGTTCAAATGGTGAATCAATGAAGAAAAGAGTAATGACAGTTTAAATTTAAATTAAATTAAAAGAGAAATGACATAGTAAATTTTTAAACATTTTATGTAAGTGATATTTACCCTGCACTCTTTTCTCCTACAAACTTTTTTTTTTAATGTTAAAAACCTACCGTCAAGGTATAAAATGGAAGGTTGCTTTAACTCTGAAATATTGAGAAATAGGAAGAAATATACCCACTTTCTTCAGTTACAAATAGTGAATTTAAATCATCAACCGAAAAGTGTTGGTAACTTTTAGAGCTTTGTTCTTAGATCAAAGAATTTCAGATTGTGTGTATTCTAGGGAATTCTTGTTAGTTAGTACTGTACACTTTGATACTAGTAACTTTTAGACTGGAACTGCATGTATCTTTTATTTTTCTAGCTTTATTAAAGCTACTTTAACATTAAATATTTAAACCTATTTAATTTAGGAATTATAAATTTAATCAATATTGTCAGCTTTATAATACTTCATTAAAGTAGCAGATATTACAATGAATGTGTCATATTTAAGTAATCATGCTGTTGTGTGATAAACGTACCTGAATCATAGAGAATAGGTGTCCAGCTGCCTCCTGCGGAGGGGGTAATGCTTCAGCCTAGGTATATACTCTTCCGTCTTACAGCCAGGAGGCTGCCGTCTAGGAAGGGTGAAATATACTGCCCTATGAATTAAAGACTTTCAATGAAGTCTCATCAAAACAGACCCCAAAATACAGCCTTTTCTCACTTTGTCCTTCCACAGTGGGACAAAAGTCCCTCCAGAATCTTTCTAGGTCCTCTGGCTCCTCAAATCAAAAGTGATTTGCTGTATCTAAAGAAATTGAAAAGGAAATACTTGCCAGAAGTCTGAAGTATCATAAAATGAGGCCAAGCCAAAGTAAACAAAACACCCCGACTAGCACAGAAATGTGGTTTGGAGAGGATTAAGGATGACATGATAACTGGCGCTGAGTGTCATTTTATTTCCTGCCGTTCTGGTGAGCCGTGCTGCTCTGGTAGCACCGTGGGCTGGTCTGCGTGCAAAATGATAGGCTTGTCACATAAAGGCTCCCACGGCCAACGGGACATTCTGACTAATGCAGACTAGGACTGTGAGCTTCAGCAGAGGACATTTATCAGTGTGTGCAGAGGGGGTACAAGGTGGGACAAAGCAGTGCTGTATGGCTTGCTGTTTTTTAAGGAAGTATAAATCATGGGGGGTTAGTAATGGAAATCATCCCCTGGGTTTTATTTCATTGAGTATTTTGTCCACTGTGTTTTGCTGTAACAGTTATTTTATATTTTACATTATTTTTTGAAATGCAGTTTTAATTTTTTTACTCTGGGCTGTTAAAAAAATTGCATACTGACTAGAATGAAAGATTTTTTTTTAAATGCAGATGATAGCGGTGACTTACTCTGGAATGTGTGGTGGTGTTTTGCTGATGGTACCGGGAGTGAGCTTTCTTGGTCTGTGTGGGCTGTGACGCCCGTCACGTGACTCTCTGGGGCATCTGCACGGTCTGCTCTGAGCCCAGCTGTGCAGTTACCTGGAAGTCATGGCACTTCATATGAAGGGGTGCTTTGCTGGAGGAGCAACACTGCTTTTTTCCTGGAAGATAAGACGGCTTGTGGTAGTTACCGTATTACTGGAGTTGAGTTGTCACGCCTGGTGTTTGAGCTGTCAGTGTGGCTTTACGGTGGAGTCCTGCCTGTGACTTCTCCATTGTTCCTGGCTGATACTTCATGGTGCTGGAGGGTTTGTTCTCGTTAATACTGTTGTTATTTCATGATGTACAGTGATGAAGTAAAGCGCACCTGCACGCCGTTACAGGGCAAGGCGGTGTCCTCAAGAAGCCATTGTGTTACCAGTCTGCTCCACTCTTTCTTCTCCCTTCTCTGTTTGCTGCACATCTTCTTCTAAGCACCAGCCATCGTGTAGTTGAATTTAGAACCTGAGTCTCAAGATCATAGACAAGTTAACTGAAGAAGAGGGAGAGAAAGGATGAGAATCTGTGGAGATTGTATCCAGCACTGAAAGACTTGAAGAAAAGCACTAGAGGGAAGGAGCTGAACGTGTTCCTGGAGCGGGAGGGAGCCCGAGCTCTGCGTCCGGTTGAGACCACCGGTCCCTGGCGCTCACATCATCCTGGCAGGAGTCAGGTGACGTCCCCAGAGCTCCCTGCTCCCTCCCGCCCCAGCACTTGAGCCTCTCAGGAATACTGGCTGCATTTTGCCCTCTTCCCCTTTCGATAGTCAGCCGAGGAGCCCAGAATACCCAGGTCTTTGCATCGTGGACTCTCTGTTGCCCGTGTGCCAGTTCTGACCCAGTTTCCCACTGAAGAACCTTGGTTCTCCCAGCACCCCTGGCTCCTCTGGAACCACCCCCCGCCCACCTCGGGTAGGAGCTCTGTTTTCCCTCATCCCTTTCTACTCCTGCTGGAGTGTGGGTGGGGTCCTCTTGCTCTCTTTCAGGCACATTGAATCTCCTGTCTTTAGACCTTGACCTGATGGATTTCTTACCCCCCTCTCCAGTTCCCGTCCCCTCCAGGCTCTTCCTGCTCCTTCGTGGGGGATGTGGTTTGACGTCCGCATTCCGATCATCCTCTCTGCTGCAGCACCTGTCGAGGTTCTCAGTGGCTTCAGGGTCCCTGCGGTGACCTGGCAGCCTGGGGGGCTCGCTGGCCTCTCCTGGTAACCTCCCGCAGCTGTTACTGCTGGGGCTGTAGCTCAGGCCTCAGCAGCAGCAGCAGCAGCTTGAGTTCTGCATAGTCTCAGACCAGTCATCCCACTCTCCATCTCTGATTTTTCCAGCTCACTCCCCGCAGTTCTTCAGTATTGAGACTTAACGTGCCATTTGTTTATCCTAATAACTTTTCACTGCCTTTCCTCCTGCATTTCCTTCATACTCTTGCTTTGTCACACTTTAAATTCCTGGGCCGGTGTTACCGTCTGTCCCTTGCGCGCACTCCCGGTCCCTTTCCCTCTCACCGTACTGCCCTCGTGCCTGGCCACGCTCACCCAGCCTTGCTTGTATCCAACCCTGGGCGTCCCCTGCACTCACCTCTGTCCAGCCACCTGACCATGACTGCCCGGCCTCGCTTGACGTGTGTGACCTACATTCTCCTGGATGTCTGTTAGAGCTTCTCTTTTCTCGAGGCTTCTTCACTGTCACTCTCAGCTGATAGCTTTGCTTCCTGTTTTCTTAAGAAAATAGAAGCAGTTATGACAAAGATGTTCTCAAGCTTTTTCCTTCGTGTTGATTCACCTCCATGCAGCTGCGCCTGCTTGGGCTGCCTTTTCTCCTTAACCTCTGGCTGGACTGTCCCTGCTTCTGTTTGAGGTCCCCTCCCCTGCCACACTAGGTTCTGTCCCTTCTCACCAGTTCCTCGACAGACCTTCAGCCATTCTGCCATCTCTTGTGGAGAATCACCTCTCACCCGCTGGATCCCTTCTGTCAGCTAGAGAAGTACAGCGACTCTTCTCAACAGAATGAAAGTATGAAGGAAAGAGAGGAAGGAAGGCGGTGTCGACGAAAAACTGATCAGCTGATCTAAGAAAGAAATGGAAAGTTTTATTCCAGCCAAATTGCGACTTACAACCTGGGAATAGCCTCTCGGGTAGCTCCGAGGACCACTCCTCCCATTAGAGGTCAAAGCACAGTTATATTCATTTTTGAGACAGGGGGCTGCACGTTAAGTGAGGTATTATTGACAGTTCATACATCCCAGACCCACAGAGTGAGTAGTGGTTAGTGGGTCATCGTGGCGCCTTACCAGGTTAGGAAGGAGGGTTATCTCCTGCGGAGCTGTCTTGTTGGTGCCAAGAGGGTGTTGCTGTTTACAGCTGAGCAGGTTTTTCTGTTGATGGGGAGGTTTGGTCGGTGCGCAGCGTGGACGCACGGTGCCCGGTGAGGGGCGAAAGGAGGCCTGAGGACAGAGAGAACTTTCAGGTTAAAACTTTCCTTGACTTGCCTTAGATGACACATCTTCGTTTCATCCGAAGGAAGGGAGACGAGTCAGTCTGTCCTGACCTCCTGCCAGCTTGCTGCCTCATTGCTTCCTCCCATTAGAGCAGAACCCACCAGGGTTGTACTCTCACTGGTGTCCTTTCTGTGCTCCGCTTTGGTTTTGAGCTCGTCCTTGCCTCCACGACTCTCCCGAGATGCTGTCGTCAGGTTGGCCGTGACTTCATAGTCCTCATCTACACTCCTTTCTCCCTGAGATGTTTTTATTCCACTTGGTTTTCAGTTCGCTGCACTTCCTTTGTCCTTCTGCTAGTGGGCTGCTTCTCCTCAGTCTGCTTGGCTGGTTTTTCTCTGGGCCCATCCCTTCTTCACACTGGAATGACTCGTGCCTCTGTCTCCCTGCCCTCCTCCGGTTCTGTCTTCTGGCTGCTCAGCTGTAACCACCACCCGTGCGCTGCCACCCTCCAGCCATCTGC